GCCTCTGCCCAGTATACCTGAAGGAGCATCTCCAACCCCATCGTTCAGCCTGAGGTCCAGCTCTGGCGGTTCCCTCACTGCAAGAAGTGAGGTTACAGGGAACCAGGCAGAGAGCCTTCTCAGTAGTGGCACCCACCCTGTGGAATGCCCTCCCATCAGATGTCAAGGAAATAAACAACTATCTGACTTTTAGAAGACATCTGAAGGCAGCCCTGTTTAGGGAAGTTTTTAATATTTGATGTTTTATTGTGTTTTTAGTATTCTGCTGAGAGCCACCCAGAGTGGCTGGGGAAACCCAGCCAGGTGGGAGGGGTACAAATAATATATTATGATTATGATTATCATCATATGGGAACACCAGTTCTTACACAAAATTAAAGATAGATCCAGAGAGATAGGTTCGCCGTTGTGGTGCCAGCTATTTCATTTTAGCTGGATTGTGGAAAATTCAGTTTGAAATCATATTGAGAGTTTCAAGTTATTATCATGATAAAAGAACCAGTTAATTTCTCTTATGTTTTTATTTATGAAGCCTGGTTTTCTAAAGTTACTAAGAGCCTGTATACATGAACATACAACACACATGTAGCAAGAATTCCACTGTTCCTTCATGCAATTTAACCCTTTAAAGGAACACATTTATTATATGCCTATCTATAGACACTCTTTGTAGGAACCCTGACAAATAACACAATATGATTGACAAAGGAACTTAGGTGAATGAATGGAATTTCGGGTATAATATGTGTAGCAAATGCCAGCCTACCCTCTGTTATCAGAGTCACATGGCTGAATTCTCCCTCCTTTATTGGCTACATGTTTTAACAATGCTACAAAAGAGGTTGCAGTTTTTTCTCATTTCTGGAAATTTGTCCCTAAGATGCCACTGTTAATAAGTATTCTAAAAAGATGTCCGGGATTGTTAGCATAATCTGTAGTTCCGAACACTGTATCTGATGCATTATATAATGATGTTCCTTATGTAATAGGATTTTCATCAATAATACAAATGCCATGGAATTACTATAAAATTGACCTCTCGTGGCTTGGGTTCACTGCCACTAAAAATAATACCAATTACGTAGCAAGATGTATCTATGCCAGGAATTCAAAGAGGTGCTTAGCACTTAAAAAAAATGTTTGTGATATAAGACAGTACAATGTCATATCATTCTGACTGTAGGGCTTCTAGAAAATATATACAATGACTGAAAATGATATAAGTATTTCAAACTAAAGGGTTTTTTTATGTCCACGTCATCCATTTAACTCGGCTCCTCTAGAGTTTACAACATAATGTGGTTATCCTCTTAGATGTAAACAACAGACGCATCTATCTCTTTATTCAGTGCTAGCTTGATGTTGTGAGACAGTTGGGGAGGTTGGGTTTTCAGCCATCAAACAGCACAGTCTGTTCTAAAACACTTACCGTCTGATTAAAGGCTGATCCATAAGTGCAGGAAGAGAAGATTGTTTAGGGCTTGCTGTTCTGATTGCTGAGCTGCCAAAGGAGTTGATACACTAATGGCATGATGATGATGATTCACAGAATAGCACCAAAACATCAGGCCCTGGGGAGACCCATATCTGTGTGTTGTGCTTGAAACTCCCTGCTTAATAGCAGTCTTTATCAGCTGGGAAATATGATTTATTTTGCAACAGGGCTCAGAAATTATTTAAAGGGGAGAGAAGAGAGAGCTGGGAAAGAACACTGCGATCTACCTGAAAGAATAAATAGATTCAGCTTTGCATGCATGTCTGAAAAGCCAGTCTTGACAATTTACTGAACTTGCAGAATGTTACAATAACACTCAATAGAAAATTGCACCACCAGATCTGATTGTGGTTGTCCATGTGTGTCTGCAAGTTTTCAAATCAGGCCATGATCATTCACATGCTCTAAGTCGTCGTATGTTTGTTTTTTGCTTTTATGTTTGTAAAGTAAAGCAAGGTTTTCTCTCAAAGGGTTTTAAGCAGACTTCATCAACCTCAGCCCTCCAAATGTTTTTGGCCTACAACTCCCATGCTAGCAGGACCAGTGGTCAGGGATGTTGGGAATTGTAGTCTCAAAACATCTGGAGGGCCAAGGTTGAGGAAGCCTGGATTTAAAGATTAGGGATAAGCAGTAGAGTGACTGTGAAGTGACCCAAAGGCTGCAATGTTATACCGTGTCAGCAGATAAAACATAAATAAATAAATAAATAAATAAAGGCAATGGACATAAAAAAAATTAACAGTATTGTGACCTCCATTCCTAAATGTCTGGTGGAATGTTTGGACCTATTTCCAAAAAGAAGCAAGGAGAAAAGACAAGTAAGCTTTTTAAAGGAGTGCATTCCAAAGTTTTGGAACCACTACGGAGAAGGCCCTGATCCTGAGAGGTGAGGATCTTCTCATCTTCTAGAGTAGAATCTGATGGTGGGCAGAACAGACAGCTCTTAAAAGCCTGGGAAGAAATCATATGGGAGAAGTTGCTCCTTGAGATATTTGGGGCCTACCAAGGTCACCAAATTTCAGGTGGTTGGAAAAGCCAAAATGGACAAAACAACAGGAGCAGGGAAGCCCTCTGCAATAGGTGAGACCTCTGGAAAGAGTGGTCTGCCCCTCCCCCAGCATCCATCTGGGCAAGGAGGAAGGGGCCAGGGCCGCAGAGATCCCTGCCAAAAGCGGGGCTTGCTGCAGGCACTGAATTTAAATTCGGTGCCAATTGAAAGCTCCAATTTTTGGCAGGGAGAAGTTCTACCTGGGGGCTCCAGCTGCTCCCAGTGGGCCTGGCACTGGATGCCAATTTTAAAAGGCAGCAGATGCAAAAAGCCCGCTTGCAGATGAACAATTGGAATTGTTTTCTCCATTGTTGCTTTCAAGCTGTGACTCTACCACCCCCACACCTGATACCATATGATTACTTTCACTTGCTTTCCACCGTAGAAGCTGTGTTGGTCTTTTATACCAAAGGGGGAGGGGGAGAGATTCTCTGTAGACCCATTTGAGAGCAGCCACATTACTCAATGCCAATGGGGCTTATTCTGGGCAGAACTGCATAGGATTGGTAACTCTAATGTGAGGAAACCGTGGAGAAAACGGAAATCTTGATTCAGATTAGTTAACGTGGAACAGCTTGAGGCCCCAAATAGATTATCCCAACCGAAATGTGGCCCTCATAAAAAAAAGCTATAGTAACTGACAGTGACCTCATTTTTCATGTGCTGATCGTTTTGTAGCCAAAATGGTATCACGAGAGGGAAGAACCAGCAGGTTTGGGAGCACAAAGGTTTGCAGTACAGTGGTACCTCGGGTTAAGTACTTAATTAGTTCCGGAGGTCTGTTCTTAACCTGAAACTGTTCTTAACCTGAAGCACCACTTTAGCTAATGGGGCCTCCTGCTGCCTCTGCGCCGCCGGAACACAATTTCTGTTCTCATCCTGAAGCAAAGTTCTTAACCCGAGGTACTATTTCTGGGTTAGTGGAGTCTGTAACCTGAAGCGTCTGTAACCTGAAGCGTAAGTAACCCGAGGTACCACTGTACAGTCATATCTGGATCCCAAACGCCTTGGTACTCAGACATTTTTCCTCCCGAATGCCGCAAACTCGGAAGTGTGTGTTCCTGTTTGCGAACGTTCTTTGGAACCTGAACGTCCGACGGGGCTTTCACGGCTTCTGGTTGGTTGCCGGAGCTTCCTGCAGCCAATCAGAAGCCACGCTTTGGTTTCCGAACATTTTGGACTTCCGGAACGGCTTCCGTTCGACTTCCAAGGTATGACTAGTACAGTTTTTTAAGGAAGAACGCCAAAATTAGCCCAGTGAGGGCTAAGCATGCCCAATGGCCAATCTCTTTTGGGGTGAGCAGAATGGAATGGAATGACACATCCTGGGAAACAGAAGCACTCCACACATTTTGTTGCATATGGGTCCCCATTGCATATAGCATGACTGCTGTAACAACCATATGAAGGAGAAAGACAGGAAAATTGCTGTCCTACTTGTACTGTATTGGACTAGGTGAGTCCTTAATGCATCAGTGAATCTGTTACTCTCGGTATTTTCTTGGTAAATCAAATTATAGACTGGATCCGTAGCTAGCCTCTTACACCGAAGTAATCCGCAGGCATACTGAAATAATTTAATTACTTCACTTATTCTAAAGCCAGTGTGCACTAAAAAAAAACCCCACGTTATTAATTTAATGCATTGCAGAGAGCCGCCGCTAATCCTTGAAGTGCTACCAGATTTTCACTTATACAGGATATGAAAAAGAGGAGATTTTTTAGCCCTGCAAGATTAAACAATCACTAGGGTTTAAAGGCTTACTCTGCCGGTGTTTGTATTGGAATAGCACACAAGTCCCCAGCTCTGAGTGCAAGTGGAGGCAGCCCTGGGAGTCGTTTATGAAAGGAGGGAGGGGGATGCTCCCAAGTAGAAGCGATCTCTCCTTTGAAATGTGTTGTAGTGTGAATCTGTGAAGCTGCCCCGGCTGCCTGTACTTCTTTCTACTGCTGCTGCCGGAGGCGAGGAGGAGGAGGAGGGGAGTCGCTTCACTGCATGAATCCAGGCTATTGTTTCAGGCACACGTCTGCTTTAAAGAGAAGTATCACAAAGCAGACCCGTTACTCATTCAGATGCACAAGCTCCTTCCATCACACAAGACAGCCCATTCAAGTCACATGCCAGAGGTCTCGACAGAATGGGCTGCTGCAGCTGCTTCGAATCTGCTGCCCAACATTAGAAGCAGTTGGACAAACCTGACAGCAGTCAGCCTCCCGGCCTCTGAGGAAGGAGGAGGAGGAGAAGAAGAAGAAGACAGGGAGAATCTCTGGGATCCCAGCTGCACCATGTTTGCAGAGGAGTTGTGGCTTGAAAATGAGAAAGCCTGCGCCGCCGTGGTTCACAAATCTAAACGAGGAAGGAACCGCCAGGAGCTGCTGGCAGTGGCTTTGGGGGTGAAAATGGGAGTCAAGGGAGCGCTCTTGTGGCAACCTCTCAAACTCTTTGCCTATTCACAGATCACCTCTTTGGTCCGAAGAGCGGCGTTAACGCAAAACGACAACCATTTCAACTATGAAAAAGCACACAATTTTAAGGTAAGAACATCTTGTGTATGTTTTTTTACTCGTGTTTTTGCTTATATTGCCACTATGCTCTGTGTGTGTGTCTTTTTATCTATATTTCTCTCTTGGAAAGGTAATATTGATTGGTTTTAAGCAGTACTAAAGAACCGTTAAGAGAATAAAACTTGGGATACAACCAAGGGGCTTCCTGGGAAGGAAGGAAGGAAGGAAGGAAGGAAGGAAGGAAGGAAGGAAGGAAGGAAGGAAGGAAGAAAGACAGACAGACAGACAGACAGGCTGAATACTCAAAACGAGCTCACTGGACCTTGCTGGAATAAAAATGTGGGTTGTGTTCCTGACAAAACTAACTTAAATCTCATTGAAAGCAATGGGGGTGGCAAACCAAAGTGTATGTACATGTAACTCAGGCTGCAATCCTATACGCATTTTCCTGAGAACTCAGTGGGTCTTTTCTGACATGTATAGGAACCACACCATTAGGTCTTATAAGAAAAGAGCTGGATTTGTTACAAGTAAACATGGGTAGAACGAGACTCAGGACAGCAGTCTTTATGCTTTTAAACCAGCTCACTGGATTCACAATTCCTCTGTGGCAGTTCTCATCAAGCTCTCTCTGAAATGGATAAAAATGTGTTTGCCCTATCTTAAATTTTGCCCGTGAAGCTCGCTCTTAACGTTAATCATCCATGTCAACCGCAAAGTCGACTACAGCAGCCCAAGCACCTAACCAGAATGGTGTGATGGCATTGTCTAATCTCTTTTGTTGGGTCAATGTGCCAAGGAAGCATTCTTGGAGTGAAGCGTCAACAGCTGAAGTTCTACAGTATAGGTTTATATCTAGAGAGTCTTTCCATCCCTCAGACAGTGTTTGAGAGAGTATATGTACATAGAAGAGGTGACTCATCTTTAGAAACTTGGCTTCCCGGCATCTTGTTCAATGTCTTTTTTTGTGTGGGAAGAGCTGCATTTGTTCCAGGCTGAGACACACTCCCGCTATCACAGTTCAAAATCTCCAAACTCCTGTTTGATGTTTACTGGGAATGGAGAACAATGATTTTTATTCATAAGGCCTTGGGCACATGTTCTGTTTTCCTCTGGTGCTTGCTTTGCTGGGAAGTTTAGGTTGTCTTTTACCACTATCTATAAACAAGCCCATCTCTAGCAGTTGCTAGGGGGAATTCACAAAAGAGAATCAAGGATCTATTCCCAGGTGGGGGAGGGTTGAAACTACAGTCTTCCTTGAGGGACAGATGGCAGCTCTTGCAAACTAGAGCACAACTAGAGCACAGACATCTGATGAGTGCATATGTCATACATGCTGGAAATAGTACTTTTCAAATGTATTAACTAGTCTGTCACCTCCCAGTGCAAAAAAGGGAAAAGGAATTATTGTATGTATGCTTTGTACACTTACACTGTTTTTAAACTCCTATAATGTGGGTTTCTCTTTTCATGCACTATATAAAAACACTTAGAAATAAGATCTAGGTTATCTTAGAAATATCCCCCCAAATATATTTCTGGACCATTCCAAAGGGGGAAAGGGGATTCTTCTTTGTTGTTTAAAGCATCTTTAATGCTCGCAGATTCCCCATAATCATCATTTTAGATGAAAAATGGTTTCACTTTAGCCAGAAAAATATTTTCTCATGACTCGGGGCATATTTTCCACGTTGACCTATACATTCTTTCTTTCCTCTTCAAAATTCCCCTTGTTTGGTCTTTGATTTAAAACTGGATGTGTGCCCAGAACCTTTTATTTGCTCACTCTAGCTGTTCTGCATGCCCTCTTGCTTCCTGTTTGAAAAGGGCTATAATTTAACTTGGTAAATCATATGATTCTCTTTTCAAAACTTTAAATGCAGGACTTGAAACTGGGTTTTTTTAAAAAAATAAATATCTCAGTGTGGGTTTTAAGAAGTACTTTTGAAAATGTCAACCGGCCAACAAAAAAGGTGTAATGCTTTAGAAAAATACCTTATTTGTTATTTATTTATTACCATGATTTATAGCCAACCTTTTAAGAGGAGTGCATGCAGGACAGTTCACAGTTAATAAAACAACATAATCACAAGTATAATTAAACAGAAATCTTTAAAAAGAAATCAGTAGCAGCTTAAAATTAGAGTGAATGTTTAATTAAAGGTATGCCAAAATAAAAGTGTCAGTGGACAGTGATGGATTGTGGCTTCCCAGGAAGATTCTTCCACAGGCTGGGCACTCCAAGAGAGAAGGCCCTCTGTCACCAGCCCTCCCATTGGACCATGGATAACAAAGGCGGCGCAGGCAAGAACTTCTGTAGTGGACTAAGAGTTCTTGAGCATATTCATATGGAAGGAGACAATTCTGTAGATACCCAGGTGCCCAGGACGTTGAGGGCTTTAAAGCTCAATGCCAACACTTCCAAGTTGAGCCTCGAAACAAATTGGTAATATGTTCACTTAGTAAAGGATTGGAGTAATATGCCCTTGTCTTCTGGCTCCAGCCAAACCCCTGGTGGCTGCATTTGGGGCCATTTAGAGATTCCAACCTGTCTACAGGGACAGCCCTACCCAGAATACCTTGCACAGAGGCTTACCTAGGGTCCCTTGCACCCTTGGCAAGGAGCTATATTGGTTCCCCCTCCACCCACCCACACACAAAAACTTTATGCCACAGTGCAAGAAGGACAGAAATCTTCTCTTGTGTTTGATCTTGCTGTGACAGCAGTGTTTTATCGCCCCATACGTATACATCATACACTCCATAGTCCGATACAGTGATTTTTGCGCGCGCGCACACACACATCCTGAGCCTGTGTGCCCGGTAGGGACCAGTTTTGTCACCTCTGACTTTGCAGTAGTTTAAGGTGCTAATGACTGACACCAGGCCTGACCTCTAGATAAGGACAAGGCTGCCATTTTAACACCATGAATACCCAATCTATGGCCATTTCCCTTTGGTCAAAAGCTGTGGTTACAGCCATATAAATAGGTGCATTTGAAAACTATACCGATCACCAGCTCCTGTTAGATCAAGCCTATTTACTCTGATCTAGCCAGGGTGACACTACACACAAGGAAGAAACCTTCTGCCTATCTCTTCCCAGGTGAATGAATTAATGCATACACTAATGGGCCTCATACAGTTGGTTCCTTTTCCAATGCAGCGCATCTATGGAGCCATTTTCAGAATAGTCTTCCTATTGGCTCTTTGGGAATATGGCTCTATTAAGCCTCCATGCCTCATTTGCTGTTGAATACCATTGGCAGGATTGTAGCTGTTTTGAAAGAACTCTTGAGTAATCTGTATGTAGTTCTTCAGATAGCACGCCTATCATGATGGGATTCGGAGCTCATGTTTGTGTAAATATCACAATAAGTTAAAATAGTTTTCATGCTTTATCTTAATTTAGCAATGGCAGAGATAAAAATAGACCTAAAAACTAGCTCTCCCGTGACACTACAAAAGTTGATTTAAGTAGCATGTTATGCCACAGAACGTTCTCATAACACCAGAACTCATGGACATTCTATGAAGCTAAATATTAAAATATTCAAAACAGATAAAAGATAGTACTTCTTCATGCAGCTCATAATTTAAACTATGGAACTCCCTCCGGAGGCAGTGATGGCCACCAAGCTGGATGACTTTAAAAGGTGATTAGACAATATCAGTGGCTACTAGTCAGAAGCAATGTGGTTCTGAATACCAGTTAATAGAAACCACAGGAGAGGAGATTGCTGTTCTGCTTCGGTCCTACTTACGGGTTTCTCACGGGCATCTGGTTGGCCACTGTGAAGACAGGAAGTTGAACTAAATAATAAATAAAATTATAACTAAAATGAACCATTGGTCTGATCCAGCAGGCTCTTCTTATGCTCTTATCCTGGCCACTTGTTATAGAACAGTTTAGGATAATATTCTATAGGACTGAATGCATGTAAGAAGAGCGTGTTAATGGCATAGAAGTTCATCAGAATTTTTGGCGTATGCTGTCGTCAATGAATCACAATAAAAAGTATTCACTTGCATTAAAACCATCCTTTAAAACCATGCCATTAAAAACTTCCTTTTGATTGGGTTGAAACTTGCTCTGAGTTCATTTTCTGACACTAACAGATTCTACAAAATCAAGCTGTCAAACCAAAGCTTTTTAAAATGCTGTGCAATCATTTGTTTGCAAATTTAGTCCGAATCTAGAACATAAAATCAAGTCCATCTTATGCAAGTTTATATTTACTCTGATCCCACAGAAGGGAAAACAGAATCATAGATGAACATGAGAGGGATGTAGTAAAAGAAGTTGTTGGACTTGCATTCCTTGAGCAAAATAATCACTCTTTTAATTATTAGGCTATGAATGAACCAGGAATGAACAATAGACTCATCATACTGTTAATGTTGTTTTAGATGAGTTAATAAATTGTTCTAGAGAAAGAGTGCTGTCCTGTGAAAATTGGAACATGGATTCTAATTAATTAATGGAAACTTTGCTTTCAGTGGACAAAATATCAGGCTCTCAAGGTTACAGAACTCAACACAAGCTTTCATTTGACCTTTTTCGTTTTCACACAAAAGAACTAAAGACTCAGAAAGATGCAAGAAAATCTACTACCAAGCTAAGGGTCACCACATGTTATGCAATGATAATTGTTTATTTTGTTAATGTGGTAATTGCTTTACTGTGCAACATGAGTTACTGAAGTTCCTGGTTTGAAATGTATAGCACTAAACAATGCTCACAAACAGCAGATGAAATAGCAAAGCTGTGTCTGGACTGGAGAGAAGACTAAATACCGGTAATCTGGCCCAAGGTGACTGTAGACCTGGGGTTGTCAACCTGGTCCCTACCGCCCACTAGTGGGCGTTTCAGTATTCTAGGTGGGCAGTAGGGGGTTCTATGGCACAAGCCGAATCCTCCTTCCATCGAGCACTGGTGGGCGGTAAGGAAATTTTACCATCAAGAAAGATGCATTAGTGGGCGGTAGGTACAAAAAGGTTGACTACCCCTGCTGTAGACAGATTGAATG